CTTCATTATTCAGCCCTTCACTGCAGGGAAACCCCTAAACTTACTAGAAAATGAAACTGAAAGCACAGAGAGCAAAAACGTTTTAGTTACACAGCAGAGCAGGTCAGATGAGGACGGCTGCAGCTGAAACATGGCAGCTCTAACAACAATTCACAAAGTCTTCGCTTTGACTTTAGCAGTTTGTGTTGATCTTTTTTTATTTTACGCATCAGGATTTGCTGGGATTCACAACGTTTTGGGGCTTTTTGCGCATCTGTGGCTTTCAGCAGCTCTACGATGGTCAGCAGTAACTATTACAACTCTGCTGGTTCTGGGAGACCCGAACCCGCTGCTGATCCGGTTCATAACAGCCTACAGTCTGCTTCCAGCGGTGTACGAGACCGGAACCAGGGTTCTGTACCGGGAGGAGAGCCCATGTGGGCCGGTGGCGGATATTCGCTGCTGGCTGATGTTCGCCGGAGCGTCGCTCGGAGCGGCGCTGTTCTGGGAGATCACCATCCCGGACAGCGACGAGGAGGCTGGGAGTAAAGCCCAGAAACAGAAGTCCAGGGTTCTGTTCATGAGGGTTGTCCATCTCTTCAAACCCGACTATCCCAAGCTGTTCGGAGGGTTTGTGTTCCTGTCGCTGGCAGTTTTCTGTAAGCCAAGAGCAGATTATTCTACTTTCAGATACGCTACAAAATGTGCAAAAGCTATATATTTGTGCGTGCGTGCGTGTGTGTGTGTGTGTGTGTGTTTCATAGTTTTAAAACTACTGACAATGTGTAGAGCAAATTTTCAAATAGTCTCTTCAAATATGGTGACAGCCAGATTTTTGCAAAAATCTGGCTGTCACCATCACAAAATTACAGTGTTTGTTTTCACCCCCAAGCAACAAAAAAGTAAATTGGTTGACTATTTTTTAAACAACGTAATGCAAATATCCCTGTTTCTCTCCCACTGCTACCTTGCAACCTGGTGTTGATCTTTAGTACTTTATTTGGTAAAATGATCTGTGCTTGTGTGGGATTTATGCATAAAGTAGGATGGAGTGGATATCATGGCATGCTGACTTGCCAAAAATTGCTTCATTTTTCCCTAGCTTGTTTGTTGTTGTACATACTGACATATTTTTTGCTAGAAATGTTTTTCTTATGAAAGTAAACATGTTTGTTTCTTCTCAGGTGACATGTTCATCCCATTCTACACAGGCAGAGTCATTGACATCTTGGGAAGTCACTACAAACAA